TTGTAAACAAAAATCAACTAACTAGAAAGCTATCATCTAAATTTATTAGACTCTATCCTATTATTTCTGTTATTTTTTAATACTGCATATAAACTCTAGAACATTATTAAAATCTTCATCAAGATATTGAAAAGTATCTGTGAATTTCTTAAGTCTTTTGGTTTTCTCACAATTAGCAGTTAGTTGTATCATTTGAATACATTTTTTTGAAAATTTTGGCATAGTGATTAAATATAGCAAATATTTTTAGCTTGAATTCATTTAATTATGTAGTTCTGTTAATATATAATTTTTTGGGTAGATAGCAAATACGTATGTAGTTTTTTTAATGCATAGTTTTTTGGGTGGATAGCAAATATTTAAATGTTATTTTTAAAATAAATAAAATTTTAAAGACAATAATATTTAACAATTGCAAGCTAAAATAAATTATAAGAATATTATTGTGTATTTAAATTTATAGATACAAAGTTACGCAAATTTAACAATTATATAAAGATTATGTAAACTGAATAATTAAAAGTTGCATGAATATATAAAGATTATTTGAACTAATTAGAACTTTAGATCACACAAATTAGAAAATTGGACATAAGATCACATGAATTGGACAATTGGACATAAGATCATGCAAATTGAACAATTGAATATAAGATTACACGAATTAGACATTGAGCATGTATGAATTAAACAATTATAGGATAAAGCAAAATTGGACAATTGAATATTAGATCACACGAATTAGACAATTAGATATAAGATCGTACGAATTAGACAATTAGACATAAGATCATGCAAATTGAACTATTGAACATAAGATCATGCGAATTGGACATTGGGCATAAAGAATATATGAATTAGATAATTATAGGATAAAGCAAAATTGGACAATTGGATTATACTAATTGGACAATTGGATTATACTAATTAGATAATTAAATATAAAACTGTATAAATTAGGAATAATATCAAGGCAGTTTTTGTCTTGAGTCCATACATAGTTATAGTCAAATAGATAATTAATTAGCAACATAATTTGAAATAAGATAGTAAATCGAATTAGTAATGAGTTAAATTAAATTGAGTGGTAATGGTTCAAAAAAATAGTTACTTTTTTTGCGATTTGATCTGAATTTGTCAACCTTACCTGCCCTACTGAACTTAAAGTTTTAGCTAACTGAATAGTTTTAGCTAACTGAATAGTTTAACAATTATCAAAGGATCAAGAGTATCACTATGCCAACTATTAAATATGCTTATTATCTGACATGATTTGAATGTAGTTTTCTCCAATTCAGATATATCACGTAATAAGTGCACAGAAAACATCCACTATCATTCTTCAACAATAATAATATTGTATAGTGAAATACCTACTATTAACATCACTTAAGAGTATAGTCTAAAGAAAACAACAAAATTCAATTAGGTCTCAAGACTATATAATGTCATATTTTGATTCACATCATGTATATGCAATTCTGCTTGTAATTTAGCTAACTAGTTTTTAATCTTTTAATTGATTAGATAAAATAAATACATTAATCAATACGTTATAACTAGTACTTTGAACTCTCGTGTCAAAATTTTAATATTTAAGATATAATGCAAGCTATTTACAAATTTATTCTTTTAAGTTATAAATAGCTATGAAATATTAGGAAAAAAAAAATTAAATTTTAAGTACCCAAAAAAAACCTCACAACAGATTAAAAAGCATGCTTTTTTAACCTATTTTATATGATTTTTAAGTTCGAATAATTAATACTGCGAGAGGAGTTTGATTTTAAAGATTTTTCACTTTCGTATAGTAAATTCCTATTAAAAAATGATATTCGTTTGTGTAACAATCTGATCATAATAAAAAACTGTACTAATTGGTTTAATTAGGGGTCTTTACCGATCTTTGTCACAATTAGTTGATCAAACACCCCAACGGTCAGGGTATTTTTGCCAAATACCCCGTGATCTTGATATAGTGATCGGGGTATTTATTAAAAAAGGCATATATAATGGTCATATTGTTTTTTTTTTATAGGCAAATTATTTGTAAACTAAATTCTTTTTTTTTTTTGACGTAAAATATCTAAGTAAAATTTTTATTATGAAAATTAATATTAATACTATATAAATATTAATGATAAAATTTTTTTAAAAAAAAAATAAATATTAAAAAATAACTACGTAGAGCTAGTTTAAAGCTTTTAAATTAAAAAAAATTAAGCATTTGTGAAATATATTGAAACCGGGTACTACGGCGAGTCAGTCGCTTGATAATCCAAATCTTTGCGTAACCTACGATTGGCTTTACTGGAAAAAGGCGTGTTATATTTGGCGAGTTGGTTGGTTCCGTAGGTAGGTCTTTCTCCTATCTGAGTAACTCTAGGCTTTCTTTAACTTCAGCTATACCACACTACTTCGGGTAAGCTGGACAAATCAACCACAGTTGTACCAAGTACGTACGTTAGGATAATAGCGAGGGGTCACGTGAGCAGGGTTTAGAGAGAGAGACAAAGTTTATCACTATGCCACTTAGTAACAAACTCGGGTTAGGATAGTTATCGAATATATTTGATTAGAGGAATTTATTATCTGTAAGGGGTCAGATTATTATTTTAATAAAGCGAACTTGAATTTTATTATTTATTATGCGAAAGGTGGGAGTTAGGGCCAACACGGCCTTTATTTATAATACAATTTTTATTTACATTTGGTATTCTACGTTTACTACTTACACCACATCTTCTACGTCCCCTACTTACCCTTAGGGATGGGTTCGGTCACGAACGGTGTGAAGGGCTCCGGGGCACCAATCGACCTTTTTTTTTTTTTATATTATTTTTTTATATATGTTATTATTATTATTATTCATTTATTTTGTATTTAGCGATAGTGTTATTTGTTTTTAGTTAGTCT